GTGAATGCATGGAACAATCTCCCCCCCGACGTTGTTGCTGCCGACACAATTGAAGCATCCAAGAAGAAATACGATGCACTATTTGAAACATGATCTGTGCAGTTCACGGGAGTGCCCTTGCTTTGGCGGGGGGATTGGTCCAACCTGAAAACTCCCACATGTCCGGTGACTGCAAAGAAGGGGTGCCCACGGATCCGTTCCCTACCCTCTACTGATTAAACATGAAACATGAAACATGTTAAGTGAGTTATCGAGAAAGTTCGTGAGATTTACGGAGAAAAAGCGGTATTTTTAGTATGAAAACGCAAACAATCACAAATGGAAAGACGTTAGCGGATGCATGTTTCTAGCCTTTATGAACAAAGTGTAAAACTGCTGGCTGCTTACACATAATTCACGATCTTCCTCCGTCATTAGTTGATCTTCTTCCCTGCCCTCGATGAAACACAAATAGTCGGAGAAGAAGACGAAAGGCCCAACCATCGAATTCTGATAGCATAAAAGATAGCTTAGCAAATGCAGCAACTTTGGCCTTTGTCTAAAAGTGATGAATAAAAGGCGATTTTAGTTGGAACACAATAAACCGATATATGTATTTCCCTTTCACAACTCTATGCAACTCGCACCTCCTACCTGATCGCGTGGAGTTCGTGAATCGAACGTGCAGTTTTTCCTCCTCGTTTTAAGACATCGCCATCATTTAGGTTGAAAGCAATGGATGACAACTTTTGGGTCTGTATCATGAGAGGTCTACAGAGAAAGAATTAGTAAAATTTAGAAAAATACGCAGTAACGTCCACAACACTATTTCTCATATCCGCTGACAGCATTCTATATATATGCGCACCAGATAAGTAAGTCATAGTGAAGAGGAGAACGCCATACTGAGCCAGATGTGGTGGGAGGAAGACCATCATAAGGTATGAAGGAATCGCTTGATAAAGCAGATGGGATGCTTGGCTGCAAATAGATAGTAAAATTCGGAAGTACCTGCCATAACATAAATATATCAGGGAGAAGCCAACGCTGATTTCAATAATGTGACGTTTGAGTGTGTTAGTATTCCGAGGAGGATAGTACGTACGCAATAGGAAACCAAATATAATTGACAAAATCTGACAAATAAAGAAATTAAGCTTTTTGACGTAAGCATGGTATTGGAAGAAGTACCTGATCATATGGAACATTTGTAGCCTTGTGAAGAGTCTGCAAAAGCCAGAATGCCATGCTTAAGACGATAAACCAACTAACTTCTTGTGGATTGTCAAGACATCTACCACAAATACGAATACAACCAAAAAACCAAACCTTATAGCAGTAGTCGGTGTAAAAAAACAAGAACAATAGGAAAATCAACAAGCAAGTAAACTCAGATGAGAAAGACTATCATGATCAAACGGTACAAAATTATATAAGACCGTAATTGTAACTTACTATTTTCCATACGTTTCTTTGCCAATACCTTCAGTTGTTTAGCAAATACACATCCTTCTACAGCCTAATTAAATCAAAGAACGATCCAGGCCATAACCAATAACTAGACCTAATCATATCAAAAACGTCATAAAATAACCTTTATATTGATGGTGTCCATAACTTTTAGCTTAGCTGTGGCAATAACCCTAATTTGATCGCGAATATGTGCACACCGATCTAGTGGTTTCACGAAGGAACCATGCTTGTTATGTGTGCAACCACCACGACGATACATTTAAATACTATGATGGTATAAATGACGTTATAATAGTA